ACTACATTTTAAACTTCATAAAGATGATATCATGCAACCAGGTGATCAAATTATGACTATAGAATATAGAGCTTTATATACATTTACTAATTTTAATTATGGAAATATTTATTCCAATAAACCATATATTGAAATTCATAAAGAATGTAAAGATATTAGTAAAATAATAGAACCAAATAAACAAATAAGTTTAATCTCAGATAAATATGAATTTAGCATAACAAAAAATAAACCTGAAATAATAGAATTAAATGAAGGAGAATGTTCTAATAATATTATTTTTAAGGATTGAAAATTAATTAAAAGATTAAAAAGTTTTAAAATACCTAATAAAAATCAGTTAGAAGAAATCAACAAAATAAAATAAATAAAATTGTATAGGAATGCTTGAAATATGAAAATAGAAGGAGAATATTATAACGGAAGAGAACATATAAATGGACCAAATATATTAATAGATACAGGAGCTAGTGAATGTCATATAACTTCTATTAGAAATAAAGGTCTAATGACTCATAAAACTGAGCCATATAAGTATGTAAATTTTGATAGACAAGTACATATTACAGATTTAGAAGTTAAGGTACCAATAAAAATAGGAGGAATAAATCTTTTAGTACCGTGTTACATAGATAAGAGTACGAATATAAATCTCCATATACTTTTAGGAATGAGTTTTCTAAATGAATTAAAAAATTATAGTATAAAAAGAGAAGGATTATATATTGTTCATAATGGATAAACTACATTATGTAAAAAGGATTAGATGAATAATCAGATAAGTTTTCTATTAACTGTGTATATACAAATTACTATTATAGAAATAAATATAACAACTCGTGCTTTAATAGATACAGGAAGTGATATAACAATATTTAAAAGTTTTTTTAATAAAATCATGGAATAATAATAGTAATATAAAAATAACTGAAGTTACAGGAAAAAGTACTCAAATAATTAATAGTGCTGATAAAGTTAATGTAATTCTTGGAAGTAAACAAGTAACAATAAATAAAATTTATAATTATGATAAATTAGAATATGATATATTATTAGGAAATGACTTCATACAACAATTTCAATATTATAAACAAAATAATTATATGATAATGCTACAAACACTTTGTGGACACTTATTAAAAATTCCTAGAGAATTTAAACTTTATAGAATTCAGCCAGCTTAGCGTGGTGATAAATGAGAGAAAAAATTAGTTATATATAATTAAATAAAAAATAAAAGAATATTATATAAAAATGTTCTAAAAACAGGAATAGAAATTAAAATAGGAAAAATCACCGAACAACTAGATAATGTTTATGGAGAAAATCCATTATTATTTTGGAAACCACATCACCCAAAAGCCAAAATAGAATTAACAGAAAATGTTATAATAAGAGTTAGACCAATGATGTATACTATAGAAGATACACAAGAATTTAAAAATCAGATAAAAGAATTGTTAGAACAAAAATTTATTAGAAATAGTAATGGACCTCATAGTAGTCCAGCCTTTATGGTTATAAAACATTCTTAACAAGTTAGATGAAAAGTTAAGATGGTTATAAATTATAAAGAATTAAACAAATATACTAAATTTAATGGTTACTTTCTACCAAATAAAGAAATGTTAATAAATCTTGCAAGAGGAAAACAATATTATTCTAAATTTGATTGTAAATCAAGATTTTGGCAAATAAAAATGGAAGAAGATAGTATACAATATACTGCATTCAGCACACCTCAAGGAAAATATGAATGGTTAGTTATGTCATTTGGTCTAAAAAATGCACTACAAATATATCAAAAAAAGATGGATAGTATATATAAAAAGTTTAATGAATTTCTGATTGTTTATATAGATGACATATTAATATGTTCTAATAATGAAGAAGAGTATAGAAATCATTTAATCCAATTTATTAGCGAATGTAAAAAAGAAGAAATTGTACTATCTAAAAAGAAATCTACAATAGAAAGAGAAGAGATAGACTTTATTGGATTATCAATAGATAAAAGAGGGATAAAATTACAAACTCATATATCCAAAAAGATAGAAAGTTTTTCAGATAAATTAGAATCTAAAGAACAAATACAAAAATTTTTTAGGATGTTTAAACTATGCAAAAAGATTTATTGAAAATTTTTCTAAGAAAAGACATAAAATCCAAGTTTTACTTAATAAGACAAATACTAAAGGATGGAATGAAAAACATACAGAAATAATCAAATCATTAAAAGAAGAATGTAAAAATTTACCATAATTAAGATTACCAGATGAAAAAATAATTTGATTGTTAATACAAATGTTTTAGATAAATATTTGACAGCAATATTAAAAACAGATCTAAATGAAATTTGTAGATATTCAAGTGAAATCTTTAATCAAGTAGAAATAAATTATACTACTCGTGAAAAAGAATTACTAGCAATTATTAAAGGAATAAAGAAGTTCACATTATTTTTATTATCCAAAAAATTTATTGTCGAGACTGATAATTCTCAAGTTGTAGGATTAGTCAGAAATAAACTACCATCAGAACCCCAATACAGAAGGTTCCATAGATGACAAGTTTATTTAACATTTTATAATTTTGATATAATCCATATTAAAGAAGTTAATAATTTTCTTGCAGATTTTCTCAATAGAAATATAGAATTTGCTGATGGATAAAGTCAAGGTCATGAAATTATACCAATTTATCCTACATGTACAAAAAATGACAGATTTTCTTAAAAAATAATCCGAAGATATAAACTCTAGAGCAACCCAAATCTCAATTATGTTCAACTCAAATATAAAAATATTGTTGAATATCACTACTAAGCATAAAAAATATGTCATAGAACTCAAAAATCAAGTTGATGCTATTGCAGCACAACTAAAATATATACTGTCTGAGACAGATATACCAAAGAGTTCAGAAATGAGTTTTCCAAATCAATACCAAACAGGGACAGCTGGAAGCAACAGTGGACCCAGATGTGACAACATACCAATTGATAATAAAGGAGATTTCATTTCTGTATCATCAACCAAGAAAGTTATGATACATGAAAGAGATACCAAAACAATCAGTATCATAAACCAAAAAGATAAAATCCATTTAGATCCAAAAGAAGAAAAATATGTCGAAATAGTCAAAATTGCTCATGAAATAAAAATAAGTGATTCATGTTTCATTTTTCCGGAAAATAATGTTTATCCCATAATAACAGTTATGGAAGGAGGAGACCCTTCATTTATAAAAAATATGACAGACTATGGATTTATGAATTTGATATATCTAGGAAAAGATTTAATTGAAATTTCGAAGTTTGATGACATATTCATTAAACAAGTATCCAGATTTGCCAAGGGAATGAAAATATATTTGAAATTCTATTCAACAAATTCAGAATATGATGGAATTGTTTACTATCCAGTTGAACATATAATCTCAATTGGATATGTTGCAGCCAATTTCCAAATAGATGTTATAGAAAATAACAGAAAAGTTCCAACAGTGACAAAATCATGGATCAGATATAGAAGAACACTTGGAATTAAAGTCATTTACAACATTATCAAAAATTTGTTTGATAAAAAATTTTCATGCTTATGCCAATATGAAAATTGGATGTTGGTATCCAATGGAAGATACGAAAAATCAAAAATTTTAAAAGACTATATTACAAGATTTGATATACATCAATTTTCAAGATATCCTACCACTATAAAAGAATTCTGCCAACTAAGAGAGTGTCCCAGCTGCATGTGAAGAAATGAAGGAAGAGGACAATAATATAGCACCTTTGACAAAGGATAATACAGCTGTATGTGATGACATTGAAGATAAAGAGCAATACTAGAAAAATATGCTCTTTGGATAAAAAGTTGAAGCAACATGTGAAAATATAGGCCCAAAGAGGAAAGTAATAGAAAGGCAAGTGTGCCTTGCTAATGTACTTAATGATGTAATTGAGTCTCATAAACTTATATAAATAGAGACATTGTCATAGAGAAAGATCATCTAATCTTGAAATCTCGAGTTGTATGCAATAGTTACTCAAAAAGCCCATTCCTAGTCTGAAAAACCAATTTTTTTGGAAATCTTTTTGTACCAAATAAAAGTCTTGTATAAATTATAATAGAAATATAACTCTAATATTTTGATATGAATATGAGTTTTTAAATCTTTATTTCCATAGATTCTTGAAAGATCTGATAAAAAGTTTTTTTCTTATTTTAACAAAAAGAATTTTTTTTTAACAAAAGTTTATAATTTATTCTTTAGAAATTGATACAGTGAGAGCAAGTAGATGAAATAGTAACAATTCCATAAATGCGGAAGGCTGTTGAAGGAAGCAGTTTACAGATTTAGAGTTCGAAGGTCATTCGGTTCTAAGAATAAAAGTCCAAATCAAATTTAAGGTAAAACTATTAAAACTTTTGCTAAAATTAGAATGAATTTTTTTAAGATCTTAAAGAATCGTAGGGATTAATTGATGATTATGAATAAATGCCAAGATATACAATTGAATGATTGGATAATCTATTAGAAAAAATGTTAGAAAAAATAAAGAATATTATCTCTCAACTAGAAAATATAAATTTACTATTTGAAGAATATAGTATTTTAATTAGAAAATATGAAATATATTTTACAGATTATTCTTATTTATTAGATTATAGAATGAATTTATATTCAAATATTCAAAGTAGAAGATGAAATTAGGATATATGTTATAATATAGAAAGAATCATTTCGTTAAGAGTAATATAGACATTTCAATAAAAAGAAATAGTGACAGACCAAATAGAAAAATCTCCCGAAAATAAAATTGTGTGAATATGATAACTCACCCTTAAAAATGTGTTTACAAGTGCGGATAAGAAGTTTGGAGGTGTGAAAGTGAATGGACATGAATACCCCTTGCCCTAGAAACCTCGACACAGCTAAATGGAAGGCTGGAATTAAATTGCTAAAATCCAACGGCCTACAATAATTGGCTATTGTTATATATATATACTGCAAAAACCCTACATATCATTCCTCTCGATCAGTGACCCTTTACATCGGCGCTCGAGTAATTCTTCTGTGCTCCAGATCTCTCCCTGTTCAAGGCTTTCTACAACTGTTTAATCTCTCTTCAAGATGGTGAGATGTCGAGACGTGGTAGTTTTAACAGAGTTTATTATGATTCTGTGTATAATTAACTGTAAACTAATTTGTGTTTATAGGTTTTGCCAAACGACGTTGATTTGCTGAATCCACCAGCTGAGCTTGAGAAGAGAAAGCACAAGCTCAAGCGTCTCGTTCAGTCCCCGAACTCGTTCTTCATGGTACGCATCTCGATCTAATTTTTTTTTTTCGTTTTTTGCTAATTATCTCTTGGTTATGCTTTGTTTAATTTATTTTATTTTTCAATTGTAGGATGTCAAATGTCAGGGTTGCTTTAATATGTAAGTGCTTTGGTTTTCTAGTTATCCATTAAAGTTTCTTTTTTGAGACAAAGAATTTGTTTTCCATATGTATATGCGTGTTTATTTGCAGAACCACAGTGTTCAGCCACTCACAAACTGTGGTGGTGTGTGGGAACTGCCAGACCGTGCTGTGTCAGCCGACTGGGGGTCGTGCCCGGCTCACGGAGGGCTGCTCCTTCAGGAGAAAGGGTGATTGATACGTTAGTATTTGTGTTGCACTCCCTGTTTGCACTCTTGAATTGGTTTAAAGATAGTATCGGAGTTTACGTTCTAAGTGAGAATGTGAGGCGGGTTTATATTTTTGGTACTCTTATTAAATTAACATTTTTCCTTGTTAAGGGTTATTTTCTGAATTTTGAAAGTGCCTTATCTTGTTGAGATGGGATATATGTTGATACATCTTACGAAATATTTAATTATTGCTTATTTGCTTTCTTATACATGGTTAAGTAATGTAGATAATATGATGGTTGAGATGGTAAATCACTTGCTGTGTAGTTTATAAGTCAATACTTTATTGATTATTCGAGTCCAGTTGATGTGAGTTCTCAAAATTCATTTTGCCCTTGCCAAAATTTATTATTCTTGAAGTCTCAAAATTTGCTCATTATTATTTTTCCTATGGTAGAGTTGACAATGTGATGTTAAGTAATGACATAAACATGCAATGGAAAGTGGTACAACCAAACTTTATATCAAAATCTGATCATCTGTTTTGCTTCTTGCCACAAAATGAAGTTGTGATCTTGAACATTGGTTTAATATGGAACTCTTTAGGCTTTAATTGGCACTCGGAAGCTTGGGTTGTGCTTTATGAAAATATGATTCCTGGTTAATTTTCAAGTATACATGATGTTGAAAATATGATTGTTGAGGTTAAAGGCCTGTTCGTCCTTGAGAGAGTCACAACTGAATTTTTGTTTAGGAAAATAAAAGTAAAATAATGTCGTTTGTCATGTTGAACATGTACAGGTTCTAGGCTCTATCCTAGGGATCGGTTGGTGCAAAATTAAATTCTATTCTAAGAGAAGCATGAATAAAATGAGAGTCGTGGAATTTTTGATTAATTGGAATTTGGTATTTTGATAGGTTTGTTTTGTGATATGTTAGGAGCTCGCAATATGGGGAACCCACTTTTCAGTCCAGATAATGCAAGTATGTCATTATTTTAATCACATATGTTCTCTTCTTTTGTGTCCTCTCTTCTTATTCTGTCTTCACTCTATTTCCTTCTCACTTCTCCTGTGTCAAGTTCTACATCAGACGTTTACTGAAAAATCATAACCCCTATGGGTCCTTGATGTAACTAAAATGATAACATGTTTTATGATATATGAGACAGTAGTGGGTTAAGCAGACGAGAGAATTCTTGATTTTGTTGTAACAAAATTTTAACCTCTTGGCATTTAGATCCTCTGTTCTGGATATATTGAGATGCTGTTGTCCAAAGAGTTTTCCATGTATTTGCATGTTTCCTTCTAAATGAAGAGTAGGTGTACTGCCAACCCCTTATTATAAAATTTTAGTATAGCATGGTCTTTTTTTCTTGTGGATTGCATCATCGTTACTCTGCACGATTTCAAAGCTTGGTTTTCCTTGGAATTCTTTGTCTTAGGTTCGGTTGTGTTACTCCAGTGTTTAGGAGTTTATAGATCTTATGCCAATGTTCGAATATTAGATGCTTTACATGTAGTCTTCTTTTGAAGGTGTGCTGTATTGTACTCTGAAATTATCTATTTATGCATAGACACATGACCACGACTATTCACCTAAAATCAGTAAATCATTCCCTCCCAACTCCTCTAAATAGATATGGAACACCCAAGATATTCAGAATCCTAAATTGTTATCATACTACATTCTCAGAGTACGGTACAATTGATTGAAGTATTGGAATACCTTTAGCTACCCGCTCATTTTCCCGGCAAGGTGGGTTTAATTGATTAGTGATTGTTGATCTTTTCTTTTCACAAGTTTGATCAGGTTGGATTTGGGGCCCTAGACACGGAATTTCTGAGCCACTGTCTAATTTTTGTCAATTAAAATTCACAAAGAATTAGTGGCGAAACTATATGTCAGCGAACTTTTTCAAAGTGAAACCAAATCACGTGCGAGATGTGAAGCCTTATAATCAATATCAAGAATGAGCAGTGAGCAAGTGTACAATTTATTGTTGATCTTTTCTTTTCACAAGTTTGATCAGGTTGGATTTGGGGCCCTAGACACGGAATTTCTGAGCCACTGTCTAATTTTTATCAATTAAAATTCACAAAGAATTAGTGGCGAAACTATATGTCAGCGAACTTTTTCAAAGTGAAACCAAATCACGTGCGAGATGTGAAGCCTTATAATCAATATCAAGAATGAGCAGTGAGCAAGTGTACAATTTCACCAGCTACTTTCATGTTAGTATAAATGTGTCATTAATAGAAAGGAGCTAAATACCTCTAGGACCTCCTAGAAAAATTATAATTGGTTAGAGTTGGGAACAAAAAAAAAAGATGTGCAAAAACTTAATATCCTCATTGTGATGCTTTGGTTATACGAGCAATAATTGTCCATACCGGTCTCAATTGAATGCTTGTGAATAATGAATATTTTGTAAATATCCTATTCAAATTGACCACCCTTGGACTCCATGGCAGACCCTTTATAAAGCTCACCGGGGATAGTCTAGTCCGCATGGACAGATTACTCCATTAGTGGAACTTGGAGAAGAATCCAGAGTGTTCCAAGGGTACGTATATTTTTTGTTCATTGAAAGCATACCTGCATAACAACTAAGGCAGTAACATACCCTCATAGGGTAATCGAATTGGTGGAGTAGGTGAAGGCAGAGACCTTTGGCGACGAGTTCTATTTCCTTATCAACATTTTTTCGGTTGAGCCTATCGCACTGGGCTTACCTAATGTAGTTTACCTGGTTGGCGTGGTTTGCAAGCTATTGTGTCAGCCTGAGGGTTTTCCCGGTATGCACCCAAAGGGTAGCAGTTGTAGGTTTTTCGGTTATAAAAAAAAATAAAAAATAAATAATTAAAAACTGAGGCATTAACATTAGCTCACCATCTATGCATCAAATCCCAAACTCCTATGGGGATAGCCTGCATCAGAGGGAAACAAGGGACTGCACGAGAGTATTATTTCAGGGCGTTAAGAAATGCAGCCCTACGAACCTGTGGTTAATACAACTATGGTGATGGAAACTATGGGAAAAAATTCTAAAAAACGAAACCACACACAACCTTCACCGACCAAAGTGTATTTCTAAAGCTGAAGCGATTGAAGAGCTGAAAAGCTCTCTTCTTAGTAAATTCCAGAAATTGGCAAAGATCGTGAATTGATTAAGACAAAACCTGAAAATGCAAAAACTCACTTGCGTTGAAGTCTCTTTCCCTATCATGGAAATTCTTGTATTTGTGAAATTCCTTCCTCCTATTTTGGAAATCCCTATGTTTGCAAAGTTCCTTCCGCCTGTTTGCTTGTTTCAGTTCTCATATGGGCGAGTCGCATCCTGCCTGATTGGTTCTCCTATGTTTCACCTGTCTTGAGAAATATGTTGAATAACACGTCTATTTGGGACAAGGTTTCTTTTGCCGGATAACATCATTTTTTGTTAGGCGAGGTTTATTCCACGTAAAAGTATTATTTCTTGTTGGGATGCTATATATTGTTTATGGAAGATTTTCCTAGTTAGGTGAGGATGATCTCATCTTTATTGAGAAGTGTAACCTCATATGTTAGCTAAGGTTTTGCCCTAATGTAATGGTTTCTTGTTTAACGAAAGAGCTATTGAAAAAGGTTGAGTATCTTTAGATCGTAATTTATTAATTTTGGAAAGAAAATGTAGCTTATTCTAACAAGCTAACAACCTCATATGCAATTAGTTTTATATGCATTACCCATAGTAGATCTATGTAGTGGCAGTTGTAGCTATGTAATTTTTTTTTATTAATATCGTCTCATAAGTCAGGTGTGAAAGATATAACACCACCATATTTTTGTAAATCACGTATTAGCAATATTTTGGTTCTTGTGAAATAATTAACGCAATAGGAATGAAGAGTGTTTCTATACACTAGAACGTACCTTGATTGAAAATAATTATACACGAATCTTGTGAAATATTTGTTATTCACTATGCTTAGCAGCAACTCAGCACTAACTACGAACTTGACCATTCCTTCATGACATTTTTCTTCCAAATAAATTCATGTGCTGATTGTAATAGAATTAGTACCATAAGGAGTAGCAAAATAAGTTGTGTTTGACCAATAACTCTACGCCGAAATGAAAATGGGTAGAATGACTTTTTGAAAAATGAGTGATTGAAAAAGAAAGAAAAGTTTTCAGTTTACATATAATATTATTTTATGGAAGATTGTGTGGTTGAAAATATGAGAAGGAGAAATGAAATTGAATTTAATGGAGGCTAAATGGGGAATATATTCGGTTGAATATTTCTTGTAAAGCCGATTGAGGTGAGTAGTTTTGATTCCCTTTTGCCATACCAATTTTGTTTGGCAATATTTGCATGCTGGTTTAGATTCTTGCACTCCTACTATACGACCTATGAAAATCAATTTGAACATTTCACTGTTTGTTTGGACTTTCAACTTACCTTTTGAATCAACTACTTTGATTTCTTTTTCATCAGTGTCATCCAAATTAATTGGATGGCTATTTCCATGCATATCTTCGAACTCCCCCACCCCCCAAAAAAATAAAATCATCAGAAATTGGAATGTTATTAAGACTGGTAAAATTATTATCTAAAATGGGAGACGTGGATTGTGGTGTCAATGGTGAGTTACCATGACCAAACATAGTCTCGACATAGTTATTGGGATTCATTTGTATAAAAGAAATTGAAAGCTATAACTAAAAAATAAAAAATAAAAAATTAATAGATGAAGAATTAAATTAAATTGAAAATGAAGTGAGAAAATACAAGGTAAGGAATGATTATGAACAATGAAGTAATATTGAATAACATAAGGAATTGAATTGAGGATGAAAAATTTAGACCGTAAAATGTAGAAGATAGAACGCAAAGAATTGGTGTGAAAAAATGAGTTTAAATAGTAGGTATTTATAGAGTTTTAAAAATAATAAAAAATAATCCCCAACAGTTACTTTTGAAAAGTTAAATGTGACCAAATGGTCATATTTTCCAAAAAAATAAAAAAAATAATAATAATATATATATGATCGTTTGGTCACAAAAAATAAAAATAAAAATGTCCATGCACACCTCGCTCAAGCCTTGCCCAATTTTTTTGGGGCCCAACTCATCTCTATACGAGTCTAAGCAGCCCATGGGATAGAGCCAAGATAAGCTAAGTCAATGAGCCACTCGACCCAACTACCATCGCAAATAGGTAGGTTGAAAATGGTTTTATCCTATTGTTGACAGCAAGAGTCTTAGGAATAAAATAGTGTCAACAACTACCATAGGAGTTACTACCTCGGTGGACCGTTGGCACTCTAGGCTAGGACACCCTTCTAAATTTTTTTTTAGATCTTTAGCTTGCACAAAGTCTTTGACTTTGTCCAATTTAGTCAATAAGTTAGATTTTTGTTTCTCTTGCCAATTAGAAAAGGCAAAACAATTACCTTTCCATGAGTCAACTCGTCACTCTGCAATACTCGTCTTTAGATCATTTATTTAGATTTTTTGACTTCACTTATTCCGTCTACTAGCGGGTGTCATTTATAAAATTCAAATTTCTTGTTGAAAATTATTTTTGTTCTCCCATTAAGCAATTACAAACAGACAATGACAGAGAATATTTATCATATCGATTTAAAGAATTTTATTTCTAAACGTGGGATCTTCCATAGATTAACATGTCCTCGTACTTTTCAACAAAATTGAATTGTTGAACGAAAACATTGTCACACACAAGAAAATGGAATAACTTTACTTGCTCAGTTAGGATTAGAAAAATAATACTGGGCAGACACTTTTCAAACATCAGTTTATTTAAATAAATAGATTGCCAACTAATGTCTAAGGACAAAGGTCTCCTCATAGCATGTTATACAACAAAGAACCAAATTATTCAAACTTGCGTGTCTTTGGTTTTTCTCCATACCCGCTTTTAAGAGCTCACCAACTGCATAAGTTAACCTTTAGAAGCAAAAAGTGTATGTTCATAAGATATTCAACAAACCAAAAGGAATATCGTTGCTTAGATTTAGACACGATAGAATATATATTTTCAGGCATGTAATTTTTTATGAAGACCAATTTTTAGCTTAAGAAATGGCCAAAAGTTCAAACTCTCCACAGTATGCTGCCAAACACTCCTTCGCAGGTATGCTTCTCTCTGGTTTTATCAAATATATTGTTGTCAAATAATCCTATACCACACTTGCCAAGACAAGATCAATCTCTAACATTTGAATTGGATAACTCACAAGTTCATGACATTGAGTAATGAGTCCGATTCAAATAATAA